TTTTCCTGGATGAAATTCCATCATCCATTCTTTTCTCATCTTTGAAGTCCATCTAGATCTTTCTGGAGTTGTGGCTCATCCTCTTTTTTGATGCTCTATATAAGGCACAGTCATCTGCAAATAGGCGGACCTTAATTTTTGGATACATGGTCGGCAGGTCATTAATAAAAAGAAGGTTTGGAGCGGCGCCGCGAATGAGAATCGAACCGGGCCCCCCGATCCGAAGGTTTTTTACACTAGGCTACCGTGGTCACAGTTGACGTTGGTACGATAAAGATCCCTATTGCTCAGTGGTTCTGAGTCCGGGTTAAAGTCTGATTTTGAACTTTTACCGGTATATGAAGACTTCTCTATATGAGTGAACAAAATTCACTTTCAATCAATTTCTTCATCAACTGGTTCATTCTGTTTTTAATAATTTCAAATTTAATATAGTTAAAAATTTTTCCCTACTACTTGGTATGCTGAAGAATGCTAATCCTGTGTTTTTGTCATGTTTTCATTATGTTTGACAATTTTTAATTAGTTTTCCATTTTTTGTCATCTTTGGTCATATGTTGATATTGTGAATAAACATTTTCATATTTATGGTTGTTCTATATAAATAAAAAAAATTTGTATTATTTGCACCATTTGAATCGTCTCACGTTTTTGTTATGTCTAATGTGCAAGTTTATTTTTTATCTTTATTGGCCTTTGTGGTCTTGATTTTTTTCAATTCAAGGTATGTTGCTGAACAGAGAGTAGACTCTTCCAGAACTGTTATTTTCTGTAATAGTTAGATCATATTAAGTAAAATTTTGTGGTTAAGAAGGGGCGGAGGTATGATTCTATTAATTTCACCTAATACATATCATCGCATAAGCACAGTAAAATATTGTTTTTGGTGGTCTACGAAAAAATACATGGCTATTGATTACTTAAAGCGCAGTCAATCAAAGGCTTGAAATTCCCCCTGTCTGCATTATTAATGCTCGATAGCCTGGTTTGTGTCTTTTCCACATCACTTATTGCGTTTTTTAGTCTTTATGACAATAAAACGTTCGCAAACTTTTTGCAGATATATTCGTGACATTGGAATATCCTGTACTGGTAAGTTTAAATATAAACAGTATGGTTTCGAATACAAATTTACCTTTATTTTGATCAAAACATTTTTTAAAAAAAATTTTATCATTAATTGAAATTTTTTTAAACAAGAAAACTGTATGATTCCTCTTTATTATATGCGATTGTTCTTGTATAATGTCACCTGAATCAATCGTCTCAGCCCTGACTTCAGCCTCCTTCCTGTTGTCAGTCTTCAATCTCTGTCTCTGATCACTCTTTATGCGCATATTTCCTTTGAACGCATCTTCATCAATATTTTAATGAACCCTTCTATGTCATTGCAAATGTCATTTTATCAGACATCAAATTAACCTCTTTTGATAAAATTAATTTTATCGAAGTTCTTGATATATTTGCTTCTTTAATCAAACAGTTTTCATGAATACTGATTTTCCTGCCACTTCCAATCTTTTATTTTATTATTTTTTTAATCAACTCAGATTTTTTCAAAGTCTTCATTTGCTTTTACAGGCAATTTGTTGCTGAAACTTCCGGTCCTGATTTAATCTACATTCTGTACTTTTTGAATTGTCAAGTAGTTGTAACCATTACAATGGTGCTAATACTCGCTCCAAAGGTAAACGACCTTATCAAAGAATGTTTCAACTCTTTTTTTATTTTTAAGTATACAAATTTGATAATTAAAGATACCAGTATATACATCATCATTTGTCTGTGTTTGCAGTTTTATGCCGTCCACATGAAACTAGAGGTTCGACGTCGTGATAGTTTACCAACCGTTAGTGGGGCAGTGTCATCATATGTCCAAAAGCAACAAAGGTCCATTGGAATTCAGACAGATGCTTGTTTTGACTCTGATGTTTCTGTAAGTTTAGTAATTCTAAATATTAGTCCACCTTAATAATGGAAACAGTGAAAACGACTGCCCAACGATTCCCAATTGGTCTTGATGATGCCTACCTATGACACGATTTTAATCATTATGTTTTTCTAAATGAAACATTTTATTCCACAGAAATCTCATATCACCCATTTAAATATTATGCTTGAATTTATATCAGTTGTATTTTTTTCCAGAAATCAAATGGCACAACGTGGCTTCCATTTCATAGGCGTTCCAAAGTTAGACCGCTTGCTCCTTCCAGTAATAAATACGAAAATACGCTGACAATAGACTCAATCAAGAGCACAGTCTGACAACACGGGCACTTCACCCTGTTTTTAGGAGGATATAACGATCGATGCACTTCTTCATATATTTAGTGATTCTGTTGCTTAAGCATGTGAATTAAAACAAAAAGAAAACATTTTTCCCCGTCTGAGCCAATGATGTTCAGATGTTCTGAAATTTGCTGGAAGCTACACTCCAGTAATTTGTCGCCAAAATTTAACGAATGCAAAAAGGTCATTTTTTTACAATTGATTGATTGTATATTGTATTACGTCCCGTCTAGAATTTTTTACTCAGAGAGAGACATCACCATATATCGGCGAAGGGTTTCAAATTTAGACCTTCACTCGGCACTCGGAGCCATTTGACTAGTTGAACAATAATGAATATGACATCAGAGTACCCATGTGTGCGCTGGTGCTTTTCCGCAATTTATGAAATCCATTTGTTTGAATATGTATAGGACTCAGAAGCCATTTGACACTTGACATTTAAACTTGATCAAAGTACAGAACGAATGCATGAAAACCATCAGTATGGTGTACCCATGTGTGCGCTGGTGCGTTTTTTTTCAAGGAAAACTTATATTTATGAAATCCATTCTCGTTTTTGTTTGAAAATATTTATTTAGAGCTCGTACATTTTCTATGTAAAACTGTAAAACATTTAGAACACGTATTCTATGACTAAAACATTTACATTGTCTTCAACTCTGTGTTTGTAATCAACGAACGGATTGTTGTATATTATCTTGTAAGGGGTATTTTAAATGTTGATTGATTGATTATTGTTGTTTTTATAGGCAATATTTCAGCCATATTTCGGCGGTTTTACCTGTTGAAAAATAATCACTAACTTTTTACAGACACAATTTTTTCCCCTGATGTATAAAAATATGTGCTGTAGTAATGTTTATTGTATTTTTATACATTTTTGACTGTTATCTACAATAAAAGTATTTGAAAAAGTATTTGAGACTGTTTATTTTCCAAACCAGTTCAGGCTGTTGTTTTTCCTGTCAACATCCACTTGTCCTTTTGGTGCCCTATTTTGTTCTGTTCTAAATAAATAAACCTTACACATGTTGAAATTGAAATAAGTCTAATTAACGATCTTTTTTCATTATTTTAGTATCCACAAGCTATTAGTCCAAACCGATTCGTGTACACGTGCATCTTATGTTACAACATGTATTTTTGCTAATAATGACCTTTATTTTTTTTTCGTTTTGTGTATGCACTAATTGTTCTCCCTTTATCTGAGTGTTCTTAAAGATAGCCTTGCAACATTTTCTTTCATCCCTCTTTGGAATAGATCAACTGATCTCGTTTCCATACCTTTATTTGTAAAGTAAAGCTATGTATTACTCTACTCGGGAAAATTATTCAATTTCACGTAGATTGATTTTTTCTATAACACTTCTGAATTCTTTTAAGTCTCCTTGATCACAGGTATAGCAGATACCTTGCTCCCACATATCTTTAATTTAACAGATATATGTTAATGTAATCAAGGGTGCAGATATTGTTCTTTGTGGCAACAGTCATAAGCTAGTATTTATAACAACGTTAATTTGTACGTGACATTCCTGTTGCAACCCTATAATAATACTCTTAAACTTGTGTTTTACTCAAGGAGTAGGTTGAAATAACATGTCATTCTCTTTGTATTAGAGTTTGTGAAGATTCAGAGAGTATCAGCGTAACTTTGACCCATACAGACTCTTATTCAAAGATAATTCAACAATACCATCCCTTTCTTTGTTCAAGGTTTAAGAATTTACGGAGACTTTTTAAAAAATATTATACATGTTTCTATTACCCTGTTTTATGCGATATTTTAATGCCCTTTATCAATTTATGAATGACTCTTTTTATACTACAGTACATGTTACTGTAGATTCCTAAATATACGCGTGGAATTAATTGTCGTATTATTTGGCGAGAAGCACCATCGCGAAATAAAATTTCTCAATCTACTTTTAAAAAATAAAAAGTTCTAGCGAAAAATAAGAAATCTGCAGAATTCAGTTAAAATCAAGTCCTTCAAATTGATATTTCATTATCATTTTTAAATTCTGGTTAATTTTTCCGATCTTGTGTAGGCTATAAACATACCGTAGTATTGAAAACTAAGTTATAGTAGAAAATATTTTATCACATTGAATTTACGTAACTTGCCATTGGTCATTTGAAAAATTACATAAAATTGTTAAAAAAAAATCTGATTTGTATATACACTTAAGAACTGTAAAGTTGATATGAAAAATATGTTTAAGTCTCTGACTGACATATGTAGTTTTTGGGGACGAAGTTTTGCTACAATTCATTGGAATTCTCATGAGTACCAATTGCGGCCCTTTATAAGCAGACCTATTTTTGTATTCGTATGGGGAAGGATTTGTTCAATATATTTTACGTGAAAAGAAGAAAACACTTATTGTGGCCTTCAACTCGACATTTAAGGCTCATTATACATGTACATGTATAACTGGTATTTAAGAAGAACATGGATTTAATTCTACATATACATGTACTTTAAAAATCCAAGGAACTTTTGGACAGTTTGATTTTTTACAAGACATACCATATCAACTAGCTTGAAAACACGACTTTTCAACTTTATACATGAATATTTCTGTTAATTACATGTACCTAAACATTCTGACAAAGATTGACAGCTGCTTTTTCAATAAAAATGGAAAAAATGTATCACTTGACATTGTGTACATGTGGCTGTGTCTTTGTTAAAAAACATTCTAATTGTACACACACTTTCTACATGTAGGCTGTGATAGGTTTGATTTATCGAGAAAGGTGCCAACAGAACATGGAACTGAAACAAAACAATATCATATAATCATAAAAAATACTATGTCTACGTAAACATATTACCAATATCATTCTCTCTTATACTATAAAACAATTTGCATAATTTAAGCTTTTCATAATGACATCTTACCACATTTCATTGTATTTTGTTTTCTTGCTGTTCCCTCTGGACATTCAGGGTCACTTAGACCAGAGGAAAAGGAGTCTATATCTGGATCCAAACCGCCAACATTGAACGATCCGTTTTCTGCCAATTTTTTGATGTTGTCAAATATTCTTTTTTGAATTTCTTCCATGGAGTAAAAAGTTTCATTCGAAGATTCAAAATTTTTCCAAGAAGTCTCCACAAAAAAACTAACCCTTATTTCGGATGTGCGATTGTATGGAATGTTACGCGCTTTTCCTTCTCCATCTGCTGATCGTTTACGTCTCCCTGTAAGTGGTCCGCATGTTACGTCCGTGTTATTAACGTGACATTGATTATTATCCGGACAGACACCTCCCCATCCATTCTTTTCTAACTGTGCCATAACATTAATGAAGTTTTCTTTTATTTGGACAATTGTTTTTGCATCATTGCAGTCACCAGCAAAATAGAAAAATTCACTTGGAAGACGACTATAGTCGATTTTTCGGACTTCTATAATAGTTAAAAGATAATTTATATAGGTGAATTTATTGACGATCAAAATACAAACCAAAAATTTTAAAATGCAACCCCACAAGGAAAAACAACAACAAAAAAAATTAATGGTCAAATATATTACCTGTACAATTGGGAACAACATTTGTCGGAACGTACTGCCCAGTAATGTGTGAACATACAAACTGACCATTGAAATTCGAACTTCCATCTCTACTCCTTACGCCATACGGGATATCAAATTTTTCCTGACACTGCATTGTACACAGCTGACCAAACAGCCATGCAGCACAACTAATTGCACCATTTTCTGGCGGTGGCAATGGATTGCATGGGTTTGCTGGAACAAGAGACTCAATTGCTTCAGTGCTCACCTGAGTAACTATGGACCTGCTGTTAGATTTTCCCCTATCTAACATGTACATGTACAAGTACTTACCAGTATGTAAAAGATTTATGTATTTATATGGCCCTACGTCATTCAAAAGACTGATTTGAACATACATAGTATGAGTATGCGTCAAAAAATTAGAATAATCCTGGCTTTGTTGTTCTCGACGAGAATATTTGTGAGAAATCCTCAATTCAGAATCCTATCCGATCCCATCCCATGTCAACTTGTGGGATAGCAGGACTGTAGCTTCTTATGCTTCTGGTTATTTTTTTAACCAATTGTGCTCCCTTACCACCCCCTCAACCTAAGCAAATAAAAAATTAATACTTTCCTATGTAAAACTTTGTTCGCCCAATCTACCCCTTATAAATTACAATCAACCGCCTAACGTGAACTAGAATATACATTGACAGAGAAAGGTGTCATATGATTATGAATATACGAGGGCTGTTCAATAAATAATGTCCTGCGCACTATGACATACAACATAGAAATCATATGACATTAAGCTTGACTTTCTCTCATTATTGAATCTTTAATGAATTGATAACAGTTTATGTGACCACTTTTAATCACATAGTTTCATGGTGGGAAGCTCGAAAACAAGGACTATTCGAGACACTGCATTAAAATGAATGTTTAAGAAACAAGTAATCTAGATTGAACTTAAACGCTTCAATAAAGCTGCCAAAACTTGATAATATCACCAAAATATATTAAATGATATATGTGAAATTTACAGCAACCAATGTCTGTTTTATACACACATGAACAAGTGTATTTCAATTAAAAAATGATACAATGAGCATCAAAAATGGTTACCATCCTTGGCGAAAAAGACATACAACAACCAATGTACACTTGCCAAAATTCAACAAATCATCAGTGATTAGGCTTTATTGACTGTAAGACACATAGCAAATGTGATAGACATCATGTTGGGGGTAGTTCACATTATTTTAAAGAAACATTTAAAAGCATCAATGTTTAATTCTCAAAGATCACCCTATTTTTTGAAAAATGAGTGAAAACGACAACATTTAGGAATATCTAAACAATTATTTTTAAAAAATCAAAAATTGTACTTATTCTATACAACGAACAAATTTCCCAAAACGAAGTAAATAATTATCAAACATGTTTATGAAACAAAATCATCAATAGTCTCATTTAGATTAAGTTATCATTTTGCAACTACTATGTCGATACAATGACCTTTTCATCAAATACTATCAAAGTTAAATCGACCCTTCTGAGTCTTGTCGCAGACGTGGAGACCTATGTTAGAACAGCAAAAAGGGTTATTTTTATTCATCCCGAAATTTCGGAAGATGCATGTTTTTGCCGTGGGTTTTCTTTCATACTGATCGGAATTTAGTTATTTTCATTACATGTATATCAGTTCGAAGTATAAAATCTAATAAACCAAAAAAATAAATAATGGAAGAACCTTCCTTTAAAATCCTACAAGATGCATCTCCAAAAAACCACATAGTTTACCAATAATATTTAAATGGTTTGATTTTTAAATGTATTGAAAGCAAACAAATAAATAATGGAAGAGTCTTCCTTTGAAATTTCAAGACGCAACTCCAAAAAATCACCTGTTCCAATAACATTTAAATGATTTGATTTTCAAATGTATTGAAAATTTAAATTCACTAAAAACGAGGAAATATGATCGGGATATTCGTAACTGATATTTTATCTTCTTTTCTTTTTTTTTTTTAAAATTTTTAGGTGATTAAGTTTATCACTACGAATTTATGCAAAATCCTTTTTTTTTTGTTTACAATGACTATTTATTACTAAACCCCCCTTTTCCCCGTTTTGATAAGAACAGCGATGTACAAGATAATGAAAATGTTTAAAAGTCGTCCAAGACCAATTTATTCGGGTAGATGTTGGGTTAAAGACTGTCACCTTATTTACCGGAATGCCGATAAACCCCACAAATCAAACATGACGAGTTTTTCCGAAGTAAACACAAATTGTATTAACGCGTATTAAATGGCTTCATAAATAAATTCTTGAATCATGGAAAATAAGGCATATGAAAGTAAGTAAAATTTCAAAAAGATTTTTATGTTCAGTCATATATATTCATATCTATTTCTTTGTACTATAATTGACGACATTAGAAACTGAATTTGAGGTGGGAGGTTAGTTTCTAATAGCAATTAAAAAGGTTTTTTAAAAAAATCAACCAAAGATTAACATTATAAACTGTTTTAGCCTAATATTGAAAATAAACTTTAAAAATCGTTTTTTTAAAAATGGTAGATTCTGAAACGAATGGAGGAGTAATTAGAAAAAAAAAAAAAGATATTTGACAGCAGTTCAGAGTCGCAGGACACTAGTGATGTCAGTATATGCCCCAGAGGGTCCAAATGAAGAAAAATGTCGGACTCATCAGCGGAACCTCTCTGATAGTCGGCACCATCATAGGTAAAATAGCAGTTGACATGCAAACTAATTTAAAACAAAGTAACCGTTACAAGAGGGTAATAAAACACAACATCGAGAGTTGCGTGGTGCAGGGAATGTTGCTGATCCATGTACTTGTGTGTTTTTAATGTTACAATTTGAGTTCTGTTTGATAATAACTAATATTTCATAAAACAGGTTACTTTACAAAGATCAATTATTTTATACTCTTCCCTTTTAATTTGATAAATTTATTTTAAACATAATTGATGATAGACAGGTGAACGTACTTTTTTCTGAAGAAAAATATATGTCTTGTAAATTTTTTTATTTTTCCCGCATATACACATGTTGATATTGCTTTTCAATTTTCCCGAAATTCAAACAAAATATAATGTCAATTCAAAACATTATGTAACTGTGGTTTGACTTTGCTTGTAGGATCTGGAATTTTTATATCCCAAAAAGCGTGTTGGACGGGGGGGTTTTAAGCTAAGCCTTGTTGTTGGGTAGCCAGTGGTTCTTAGCCTTGCTTGGTATGGGTTTATATTGTCCTTGATTTAAAATATTAAACCTAGTAACAATCCTTGTACCATAAAGATAGTTAGGTATAATTTCTTTTGTTAATCTGTACATGAATTATTTTTTCCCATTTCTTAATTTGGGTTATTTCCCCAAAACCCAACAGCTTTAAAAGGGGGGGAAGTCCAACCTCTCTCATAAATTTTCTTTTTTTGGGTTCTTTGTGTACCTGGTTGGGAACTGTCATAAGGAAATTGGTGGGGAGTATGTGTACATTAAGGAGGCTCTTGGAGAGTTTCCTGCCTTCCTGTTCGCGTGGACATCTGTCATGGTGGTTCGAACCTCCTCTATGGCTATCATTTGTCTGATTTTTGGCAAATATGGCTCCCTTTTTTCCCGTATTGTGGATCCCCAGTCATCCCGATGAAAATTGTTGCTGCTCTTGCCATTGGTTATTTTTTCCCTCCACATATACCTGTGCTGACATTCGATTCACCGCATGACTATAAGATGAATTATTTCGAACATACTCTATTATTTAAATGAATAATTTCCTTGATAGTGTAACATTTTAACTGTGTACAATGATAAATAATTGGGTTTGCTAAATTTTACTTTCCCAGAATTCCCTTTTCATTTAAAATAAACAAAACTTACGTAACTTCGGACTATCCATAACAATGACAACTATAAAATTTGGATTGTTTAACCGGGTCCTATCTGAATAATGAATTAACAACATTGATAAATTAACAACAACGAATAATATGAAAAAAATCAGCTACAATTAAATCAATAATTAGTGAACTCTTTTTAAAAAGTACATGTAACGTTGATTGGCAAATCTTCCCCAAAGGTTGGGTTGGACAATTCCAGAACATTTCCCAAACCACTTTACTATTACTAATTTATTACAATAGTATCCCTGGGAGTCATCAACAGTTACAGTACAACACTGGCAGGGAAAACCAGGTCTTCTTCACTGCCGTAAACTAATAGCACTTGTCGTCATTGTTGTCGGAGGAATGTCAAACTCATTCAAGGTACGACCTGTTTATTAGATGAACCTAGAATCTTTTTTGAGTTAATTTCCAAGAGTAAATTATTAAAAGAATAACATTTGTTGTGTCTCCAAAGGAAAAGTCTCAATTTGAAAACAGTTTTGATGGCACAACGACCTCCCCTTCCAGCATTGCTCTGGCGTTTTTCAACGCACTGTGGGCTTCGATGGCTGGTGAGTATGAACCTTTAAAACTTCCCCCTTAAAAACCTGTTTTTTCCTGTAATTAACACAATACTATACTGTATTTTTTATGCATTTAGAATTATAAACTGCAGCTCTTTTCCAAATTTTTCTACATGATGGTAGTTTATTGTTGAAAACCCTAAAACACATATGAATACAATCATAAAACAACCCATTATAAAATGTTTTCCTTTACAGGAATAACCTGAATTATGTTACAAAAAAATAAAAAATCCAGCTAAGTATGTAAGATATTAATGAAGAATTTTTCCACTGTCAAAGTATTGCAATCAACACATAACCTCATTTGCGACCTAAGTCACATACTCGTCTTAAATTTCTAAAGTTATACGTAGAATATTTTCAGTATTATTCATTTTAATGCCTTCTCTTTAAGAAAAAAGATTAAGTGATGTCTTTTTCC